GTGATCATGTAGCCTGCTGTAGTGGTGCACACCTGTAATCTAGCTCCTTGCAGGACTGAGGCAGGAGGACTGCAAGCGAGAGGCCAGCCTGAGCCTCTTAGTGAGGCCTTGGCTTAAAGTAGAGCAGACGTGTTCAGTGGTGGAGCCCTTGCCTAGCATGCATGAGACTCAGAGCTCAACCCCCAGGATGGGGTGGGGGTGGAGACGGAAGAATGGTGAAGGCTCAATCTCTGCATAACAAGCCGTGGTGGATACAGATCTTTGAAAATGAGCTTATAATTGGGAAAAATCCATTTACTGGTCAAAGTATGCCCTGTCTGGAGTCATTGACTTCCTACAACACAGAGACAGATCCTGCTGGGAGTCACTGTGACTGTGTCCCCAGTGAATGGATGCTGGGGAATTCTTACTGCTGACAGCGACAAATTTTTATTGCACTCAACACTAATTGGTTCTAATTAGAGGTTTTTAGCCAGTTTAAAATTGTTCTTTTAAGAACAAGTTTGCAAAAGAAAACACGGAAGGGAGGAGACACTTCCTTGGCATCTTTGTTTCTTGGGTGCATTCTTGTAGCGGACCACAAAGCAAATTCGGTTGCGGGAGCTCATGTTTGAATTTAATACATGGCATTCAGGAAACACTGTCCTGTGGGCTCTTATGTTTGTGCTTGGATCAATCCATCAAAAATTCATTTAGTGTCCACAGGCTGTGGAGAGATAGCCGGTTGGTACATGTGTTGCGCCTGCCCTTTCTGACATCCATGGAGAGGGCTGGTGATCAACTCAGGTGAAGCCAGGCCCTCTGCGTAAGTGTCCCTCATCGCCACTGCCGATTATGCCCAACTCCAGGCTTAGTGACATTTGTTCTGCAGCTTCCTGTCCCTGTATCTGAAAGTGGTTCCTTTGCTAAGGGTAAGCTAGGATCTGGTGCTGTCAGTCATGGGAATAAGCTGAGCCTTGTGCCCGAGGTTCTTGGATCTTTTTAATACAGCCTCAACCCCAGACACACACTGCAGGGTAATTCTGAGGCTGCAGGTGAGGCTGGCAGAGAGCGATTATGTGACAGGGCTTCAGCAACACTCCTTGAGGAGTAGCACAAACTTGAGTTTTACTTCTTTATCCTTTTCTTCACTTTCTGCAACTTTCACACTTTAGAACCTGTGCTTTGATCCCTACCTCTGATGGTCTTAGGTTAACCTCCCAGCTGTAAGAACCATGTCTAAAGCCAGGGGTCTGTTAAGGGGCTGCTCTTGATACACTCGGGCATCATGCTACTTGCAGAAAGCATCAAAGCCATACTGACTTACAAAAAAGTACAAATTCAGGTTTAGAGACAATTGCAAACATGAGTCTGCTTTTGGCCGTATTGAACACTAATTGTTAGACCAGGCATGCCGTTCAGCCCTGCTAAGCCTGTTTCTTATCACAAAGCTGAAAATGGCAGCTTTTGTTTTATCTACTACTTAGATTGCTATGAGAGATAAAGGCCATGACAAAATACTACGCATAATGTATTTTTTTATATCAGGAATTGAAGTCTGTATGCTCATATATATTTTTTCTGTGTTTTAAAGAAGGGTCTACAAGGTGTTCAGGGTCTCACTACTAGATCAGACTTGTAGTGATTCTCCTGTTTACAGTCTCCCAAGTGCTGGGATTACAGGCATGTGCCACCACATCCAGTCTCAATTGCTGTCTCAGCTCACCTCGGGGGCAGGGCCAGCATGGCAGGCCTGGGGATTGAAGCCCCCGCTCCTGTGTCTGCTTGCAGGTGCTTTAATCCACTGAGCTATTTGGCTGGCTCTTGAAGTCTGTATGTTTATGAACTTCACCCAAGGATGTGGATAATAGAGAAGTACTACATTTATTTTATTTACTTATTTAGATTAAACTTATTTAAACTGATATATAAAAGCAAAATTTCTTATTAATGGCCACTGTGTGACATTTCAACATATTAACACATTGTGTAATGTCAAGTTAAATGTACCTGTCTTCCTGAACATTTAATCATTTCTTTGTAGTGAAAATATTAAAAAATCCTTTGCCATAGCATTTGGAGCTATTCAGTTCCTCACTGTTGTCTGTAGGTGCCCTTCTGTGCAATGGTACCTTCTCTTCGAATCTAATTTCTGACTTCTCACCTATTGATCAATCTCCTTTTATGAGACAAGTTTAAAAATTACAGTATCCATTGGTGGGAGTGTGGACTGGTACCACCATTATACAAATCAGTGTGGAGATCCCTAAAAAAGCTAGGACTGGAGGTCCCATGCAAGCCATATATTCCCCTCCTAGCTATTTTTCCAAATGAACTGAAAACATCATATCACAGTGATTCATGTGCACCCATATTTATAGCAGCACAATTTGCCTTAGCTAAGTCTTAGAAAAAATCCAAAAGCCCGTCAACCGAGGGATGGATAAAAACTGTGATATTTTTACCAATGGAGCATTACCCAGCTATAAAAAAGATAAACTCGAAGTTTTATAGGTAAACGGATGAATCTAGAGACCATACTGGTAAGTGAAGTGAATGAGACCCACATGTGCTCACATCATATTGTCTCACCAGTGTGAGAACCTGAAAGAGTAAATAAAATCTGAAAGGTATAATAGATACTGTGAAAGGGAGAGAATCTGCTCAACAGGAAGGAAAAACTGGAATGCAGACAAGGATAAAAGAAAGAAGGGAAAATATATTTATGTATATATGGAGGCTAGCTTGGATAATTATACTGCTGATTTCTGCTGCTCTACTGAAGGGAGCAATTAATGCTTAAATTCTTCCCCCCAATTTTGCATGTTTATATAAACAACTAATCTGAAGATATTATGTAATGCAACAATTGTCAAATTCCTATTATTTTGTTTAGTGAAATTTTGTATTGTTTCTGGTGTTTTTTCTTTTTCTTTTACCATTTTGTATTCTCTTAAAAAATTACACTGCTTCTCTAAGCTAAGCACACATCTTTTTTTTTTTTTTTTTTTTCAGAACCAGGGATTGAACTCAGGCCTTTGAGCTTGCCAGGGAAGTGCTTATTCCCCTGAGCCATCTCCCTGGCCCCTTAACACACATCTAAATAGTTAATTGCATATAAGAAATATGAAGCAAGACACTTGTAAGTAAAATATTAAGATATAGTAAGCAAGGTATTTATGAAAAGGAAAAAATGAGAGAATACATTTACATGTTTAGCAGCAAAGCAGGTTGAAGAAAAATGGCGTCTGTAGGCAGGACGTTTGAATATTTGCACTTAGTAGGAGCTTTATCCCAAGCATTCCTTCAAATCCCTGCCAACCATACTGGTTCTGGTTGAAAGTGAGCAGCTATAGCCTGATAGCAGAAATGCTTTTTCAAAGACATAACAGACATAGACCCAGTGAGCCAAAAAGTTTCCCCACAATAGTTTTACTGGATCAAGTAAAGTCAGCTTCTAAAAAATTGTCAATCACCCTGGTAGCCTGAGAAAGGATTGTTATTCCTATTTTTATCTTTAAATGATTTCTAGCTCAACAGAATAAAATAGTCAAAAGATCATTCTTGAGCATTGAAATATTTTTTAAAAAAACTCATGGATGTAGAAAATGTAGCCACCAAGAAGGAAGATCACAGTGGTCAGTGAAGCATTGGGTTGACTTTGCTGGTGATGGTCAGGCTTTATTTATTTATTTATTTATTTATTTTTGATGGTCAGGCTTTAGGCAGAAAACAAAACCCTGGTGCCTAAGACGTACAGTGCCCAGGTTGGGCTCACCTGTTGAACCAGTCGTCTGTGTACCGGGGGTACGGGTAGGGGTCGTTGCTGCTGAAGTCGTAACTGGCTTCGGCATTCTGAAAAACACAAGGCACAGCGTGAGGTCAGTGAAGCCAGAGGCAGAGCCAGGGACAGCACTGGGGGACATGCTGTCTGGTGCTTAGAGGGCTGGAGACCTTAAAGCCCCAGTGGGCTGTGCCAGTGCCCTACCCTGGACCTCACATCTTCATCCTGTCTCTAGGATCAGTTTCCCCTGTGGGTTCATAGAGTCACCCAGACCCAGGGCTTACAGTGAGCTTCCTCCATAGAGCTGGATAGATGGCTTGAGGTTCTAGTTTTCATGTTATGCTGAGATGGCCTTTGCTTTCCTGCTTTATGACCAAGGTCCACTTCAAGCTCCCAATTTTAGCCTGGCTAAGGCTATCTCCTTTACTCTTAAGGATGTTAAATCCCTACCAGAGTCCTTAACATTGTCCACAACTAACTTCATTCATTCACTGAACATATATGGAGTCTTATGTATATCAAAGTCTGCTAAGAGAGAGAGGACAATGGTGGCATCTTGCTCCTCATGCAACTTGCAGCCTACGTGGGGGAACAGACATCAAACATATGATCAAACCAACAAATACACAGTTATGAACTCTGACAACCATGCACATTCCACTCTGCAGTGGGCAGCTAGGAGTGTAAAAGTGTAATTCTACAGTTCTAACATTTTCATTGAGAGTCTCCCCATATGCATAAATTATGTTCTCATGTAAATAAGTTCATTGCTTTTTAATTTTTTTTTTTTACAGTTATGTCTCTAGTTGGTCTGTTATTTGTGTCAGTGATGGAGGTGACCCTTCATCACTTGGTGAAGGGGCCATGCCTTCCATATTGCTTCCTCCACTTTCCCAGGGTCTTGGGCTGGGGCTCCCTGGTGGTTCCTCTCTTCTCCTGTCTTCTTTGTTTTTGGGTTTTGCTGTAAGGACCCCAGATGGCTCCTTGGTGCACAGCACACATGGGACAGGGGGACAACTGCCTGCCAGCTTTGATGTTTCTCAATTTCACAGGAGCTGTGTTCCTTTGTGAGTTAAGACCCTTCAGTTGGTGACACACTCTAGTTTGCAAGTATATTGGGTTACTGGCATACTGTTTTAAAGAGCAACTTGATGAATTCCATTCACTTTTGTTTTGATTTGTTGCATGACAAAGGGCTGCTAGTCAACAGGAGGTGCAATGGTCAGAACTGTAGTACAGGTTGAGCATCCATCTGAAATCTGTAATTCCAAAATCAAAAGCTTTTTGAGTGCAAACGTGACACTAAATTGAAAAATTTCACAGCTGGTGCTATATGACAAATCATGGTCAAAATGTAGGCACACTAAACATATCGTATAAAATGACCTTCAGCCTAAGTGCACAAGATACATAAGATCCATGAATGACTTTCATGTGTAGACTTGTGCCCCACCCCCAAGACATTCTCAGGTGTATGCAAAGATTCCCAAATCTGAAGGAAATCTCAAGTCCAAAAGACTTGTAGTCCCAAGCATTGTGGATGAAGGCTACTCAACTTCAACCTGTTCTAATTCAATAAACAAATATACTTGGGCTGTAGTGGAATTTGGCCTTGCCATGTTCCTTGAGTCCTGACCATGTCTATCTTTTATTACAGGTGCTGGGTCTTCACCCAACACCAGGCCTCCTGGAGGAACCTTGTGTCTCCACTCCCTTCCTCCCTCGCATGAATCCCAGATTATTTTCTCCATGTGCTAAGGTTAATTCTGTATCTGGTCTATGAGCTTAGTCTCTGGGACCCTCTCAAATCTTCATCTTCTTTTCTTTGCTCTCTGAGATTAGCTGGATTTCAGTTCTTTCCAGGAATACCATTTGGACATAGTAGTATTTGCATTCTTCCATAAGCATGTTTTGCTACTCCTATCTCTGAAGTTCTCAGAAGTAAAAGCATTCTTAGGTGTAGGTAGTAGGGCATAAATATGGAAAGAAACACAAGTTAATACCTTTTCTTTTGGGTTTCAAAGATGAGGTTAATACTTGAGCAGTAGATTTGGAAGACTGTTTGCTAAGCCTTGTTTGTTTCTCCATGGAAGAGATTAGAATACTGTGGTGAAAGTTGATTTGGATATGGAGCTGGGCATGAGCAGCCCATCTCTTTGTTTGGAGCTGTGTTCATGAAGTAGGATACTTGCTCTTTGCACGATCAGAGTCAGAGTGATCCAGGCCTTGTTCTAGGCCAAGGGCCTCAAGTCATAGACCTGTAGCTCTGTGAGGCACCTCAGCTGATAGTCTTAGTGTAGTTCCATTTTTCAGCCTCCTGAATCCCAAAGGAGGGTAGGTGATAACACAATATTCTGTGGGAGCTGAGACTGGTGAGGACATTACATTAGGAACAGCTGATCTAGAAAGTTCTAGTGGTGAGGACAATGAGGATCCAGGGCTTAGGCAGAGTCTTTGTGGTTTGAGGACTAAGGACAATAGGAATGGGGGTGTCTTGGAAGCTAGTGCGGACAGTAGATGGTCAGCACCAGTGCTCCTATTTCTTCTCAATGTTGCATAAATTCTTCAAGCTTGAGGAAGGGTTTAGAGATAGGGAAGGTGGTGCAAAGCCTGAGTTGAAGGATCAAACATCTAATGCCACTGAATTTAGGCTAACAGGCAGAATTGAAGATCAATCAGATTTGGGAGTAAGGATAGGAGCAGAGAGTTCCTGCACTTACTGTTTGCTCTGGAGCAACTGCTTTTACAGATGTCCACTCTGGCTTATTTTTATAGCTCAAAATCATCACTTGGGGTTGGGTTTAGGTTTCTCAGCTCTCTATCTTAGCCTAGATGGCTTCCCTTAGGCAGGTGGGCCTTAGAAGGAGGAGCTGGCAAATTCTGACAGTGGCACTCCAAGCTGAAAGCCTTGAAACCCTGCCACCATCTTTACAACAAGAAGAAAGTCTATGTCAATGTTGTGTGAGGTGGGACTTGCCTCTCCACACTGAAATAGATGATGGCTTAGGGATCCCTAAATGTTGTTATATTTACGCCGAATTTGATGACTAATACTTAATTCCTTGGGTAACAGTCTATATCGAGCGTTAAGGAAGGCAAACCGTTGGTCTTGTTTAGTGGTACATTTTCTGGCTGAAAATCAGATAGTTTGTAGCAAGAAAGCACAAGCCAATCATTCAAGGGTTCTGTTTATGCTTTTATAGCTGAACTGGATCATTTACGAATTTGAATTACAATGTTGTCTCCCATAAAATTCCTTATGTACAAGAATAAGTTAAACCGGCCTTGACTTATACTGGATTTTTCTGTGGTGTCTGATAACAAGGAAATTTGAGAGGAAGTGGTGTTCTGGTAACTTCTGTGCGGCAGTCTTTGTGGGCTGAGTGCAGTGCTTGTTGTTGTTGTTTGGTCTTCTCTAACTTCTTTCTAAAATATGTATTTTCTTGCTTTAGAAAATACTGGCTATTTATTGAGCATAATTGAATCTTCGGTGATTCAGGACAGGGATGATTCAGAGTCATTATTAAAAACTTGAATTATCAGTGTACCATCTCAATGACAGCGAGAAGATTGGGTGGGATCCAAACTGACCTCAGGACTTCCCCGGAAGTCATTTCTGGAAGAACCTTCTGATAAGGGCTCATTTTCTTTGATGAAAGTTGAGTGCTGGGAGAAAACAACTCCCACTTATTCAATAATGCAAAGGCTTAATTTTGGAATGTTTGAATACATAGTTGGAAAACAAGGTTATGGCTTGCCCCGAGCCAAACAGTGAGTAATCAAGGGTTTGATCATTGTTTGTAGCGTGCATGTTTTAGATACATGACCTGCATGCACGCTAAACTAAGAAAAGACAGAAGAACTGATTTTCCTAGACTCCTCTGACTTGTTCTGTCCTTACTCCCAAAACTAGCACTGCATGTCTCTGTGTGCAGTGGCTCTGCTTGCTGGGCGGCACGAGATGCCGGCATCTGTGCATGCAGCTTGCTGGACGAAATGAAGGGTTGGTGTGAGAGTGACCTGGTAGTAGCTGATGTTTTGGAAACGGTAGCTCCCTCATCTTTAAAATGCAGATAATGGGATGGTTGCCACTCTGTTGCTGCGAGGATGCACAGACAGGGGCAGTGTGCACATTTTCTCAGCTCTTACTGCTCCTTTTGTGCCCTCGTCTTTCTTCCATCACTTACGGCAGGAGTCACAAAATACAGCCCAGGCACCAAATGTGACCCGCGACTTGTTTTTGTAGATAAGGTTCTATTAGAACACAGCTATGTCTCTTTGTTTATAAATTGCCTATGGCTGCCCTTCCAATAGCACAGCAGAGTTAAGCAGTTATGCGGAAGCTGCAAAGCCTGATGACACTACCTGGTCTTCGTTGGGGAGCTTGCTAATGCTTGACCTAGCATGTCCTAGGCCACATAAGCTCCCCAGCTGCCATCCTGTGGCCTGAAGTATGGTGTTTCCCAGGCTGTGTCATCCTGGGCTGCCCTCTTTGCTTTGGGACGCATCTGTCCCACATCCTGTTCTCTCTAGGTGGGTGCTGAAAAGGAGTCTGATGAGAACTAGTCAGACTACACCATAAGGAATTGACGCTTACCCCTCCCTTGTCTCTTGACAGTCAAAGGCAGATTATCAGGTGAGTTGCTAGGGTCAGAAGCTGAGGCTCAGCTCAGCCCACAGGAGCACAGATGGAGACCACAACAAGCACCCCACGGTGATGGGGAGGAAGGTTCACCCTGGTTTCCACCACCCATGCCCATCATTGGTTGAAGGCAGCTTCTGGGAGCTCCCAGCCCTGTAGCTCTTCTGCCTTTCTGCCTGAAAATGTCCCACTGCTTCTGTGGTTGGAACACTGGCCTTGCCAAGAGGGGCAGGTGTCTGGAGCCCCGTAGCTTGCAGATGTGATAGTTCCAAAGAGGCAAGTGCATGTGGTGTCTGCTGCAATGACCTTGTTCATCTTCACTTTATTTTGGTGCTGAGGATCGAACCCAGGGCCTTGTGTGTGCTAGGCAAGTGCTCTGACTCTGAGCCATACCCCAGCCGCACTGTTCATTCGTAAGGCTCATGTTTT